CTGCCCCCCTCAAAAGTCTATAAATAGCACCTTAAGCTCATTAACTCCACACACTAAAAACTCACTTATATCTTTCTCTAATTCCGACTTTTCTGGAGTTTTTCAGGAGTCAGGGAAGTTTCACTTTAGTGAAACTTTGGAGCATCAGAGAGCCCAGAGGAGCAGAAGCTTTCGGGTCAGATTCCTACCTCTGATCTTCTCAGTTTTCACTAAAAATTCGTGTAAGTTAAGCTGCACTTACTACGCTTTACTTGTAACTAATATTTATATTCATAGTCGTTGTTATGAATGTATAAATAAGATTTATCAGTGATTCCAGTCATACCACTAATTGATCTATTTACGGGATTGATGTTTAGGCTAGATCTAGAGAGGTGTTTAAAGTGGGATTTCCAAACAGTATACAAAAGAGGCCCTACCTCCGATATGATCCTACCTGGTTTTTCCTTATCTGCTATAGATCGGTATTCACTAGGATTAGTGAAAGATCTAGCTTCAATACCTGACTACTATAGAGATTAATAATTTATAGTATTATAGGTTAACACTTGTTTGGTGCATTGCTCACCAGTTGAATCACCCAAATATTTATATATATCCTTTGAGTAATTGTCCAGTTGAGTTTCTCACTATACTATGTATTACAATATATATCCATGTATGTTAGGATATAAGAGTAGAAAGTATAGCCTTTATGTCCATAACGTCAGGTTTCAATATCCTCCTAGGATGTGATATGCTGTGAGACTAATAAACTTGTTAGGTCGCTTCTTGTAATACTATTAGTTTATATGTAAATTAGATGCATTAGGAGGACTGAGTCTTCCCTACTTTGTGTGAAAGGCCAAGATGCATGCAGACCAACTTTATGCTGAAGGCCAAGGGTTGAGTTGATGGCAAGATCAACATTAAGAGTTGTAAGTTTAGATATTCACTAAGTAGCGGACCAACTTTATGATGAAGGCAAAGTAGTGGACTAGCTTTATGCTAAAGGTAAAACGGTGGACCAGCTTTATGCTGAAGGCCATTATGTGTATGCATTGTATACACATTGTGATCTATGGTATTTTGGGGAATTCACTAAACTTCATGCTTATGTAGTTAATTAAAAATGTTTTCAGGTACTTCTTCAAATCATGAGAAGGGCAAGGCTCAACTGTAAAGGCGCATTGGAAACATATTTTTCGTATAAATTAATTTTACTTTGATTTAATTGAATAACTAAAAATGAAAATTTTTATGGTGAAAAATCAGGACGTTACATGAATAAACATAAATTTGGAACTTTTCAAGTGTTCAGAGCTTTCATAAAGCGAGGTTGAGAATTAACTGGGCATTAGGATGAGATACACATATTTAATAGGGATAGTGAGCATCTTAGTCATAAACTTTATCGATCATATAAGGAATTGTGAAATAGTTTCATGAGTTTTCTCCACCCAGAACAATGTCACAAAAAATGTTAGTTTGAAAGAAAAACAATTCATTGTTTGATTTGATACCTGATGTGCCGAATTATGCTTCACAAAACAGTTCATACATTGTACCACAAATAGTTTTACAAGAATCCTTGGTTTTGAACCAACTAAGAATGTTCATGAAAGAATCTTTGAGATGTGGATTAGGGCTCATCCCTTACAAACACAAATGGAAGTCAACGATTAAGAGGCTTACACATGTCGTGAATCACTCGAAAATCTAGGACATAGTATAAAGATGCGTTATCTCGTTGAATATCCTAATTAGACTTTTAGGTAATTGTTTTATAAATCTTCTTAGAAAAAAATGTTTATTGCTCAAAGGACAATCTTCCAAGGGAGGGAGCTAATATCCAAAAGTGCTAGTGGGAGCCATATTGATCTTGATAAGATTCAAGAGTCAATCAACAAAGAACATAAAGTTAGCTCAAGTATTTTATTCGAGATTGAAAGAGCTATTGAGGCAACTGACGTATAGAAACCTCTTCCTTATAGAATTGATAGGAGAAGTCATAGACCTAGTAATATAAAATCTATATTACTAAGGATTATGAGACATTGGTAGATGGAAATAAGATTAGACCAGCTATCAGAAGCAATAAAAGACCCTACATGCTTCAAGATAGAAGGAGGAAATAAAGAGCGAGATTCAACATGTAAGTTTTGAAAATTGGTTGATCACACACTTAGCCTTAAAACATTGAGTTTAATTAGATCTCCAAGAAGGACAAAACGAAGATGGGAACAAACACATATTCAAATCAAGATATGTTGTGAAGATGTGTAGGCTTATGAAGTTCATTTATGAATTGAAACGAGCATCTCACAAATTGGAATTCTTGTTTCAATGAGGGAAATCAAGATTTGGAATTTTGAGAAACAATGATGAACCATATATATGTCAAAGCCAATAGGAACAATTGGAATTTTTTTTCAATGACATAATTCAGGAGTTTGAATTTCGAGAAACGTAGATGAGGCATATACATGCCAATGCTAGTCGGAGCATTGTCTTAACTTTGATCATATACATAAACTATGTACGAATTCATTGGAAACAATGTTCTAACTTAGAAAGTGTAAAAGCTTGGCTTGGTTTTGGATTTTCTTTCAATGATAAACATGGGATACGTAACACACATATATAATATAAGGATCTATAGAGATAGATCTAAGTGATTCATTGGATTAAGCTAAAGTACATAAAGTCTTGATGAAACTCAAGATGCAAACTCCAATAGAGTATGTGCTTACAATGTATGGCATTTCATTAAGCAATACTAATGTACTAGTTCTAATATCGAGCTAGAGAAAATGAGTAAAGCCCTACATGTTTATTCTATAGGATTGATCATGTATGATGTAACATGAGTTAGATCTAATGATTCGTATGCCTTATGCATGAAAGGCCGAATCAGATCCATTTGACAAGAATGAACGAATCGAAATCAAGAACATTCCGAAGTTTCCTAGAGGGAAAAAGGAAAATATATTGTTAGTATGGAAGATATCAATGTAAATGTTGCATTGATGCTAAGTTCCACACTAATAAAGACAATTTTATTTGTAGTCAGAATAGTCTTAACAAGAAACTTAGAGTATATTTCAGCTAGTTACTGAATGGTGAAGTATTAGCTTGGATGAGTACCAAGTAATACACCACAATAGATTTAACAAGAAACTTAGAGTATATTTCAGCTAGTTATACTGTAAACGACGACTATATGACTAAAAGAGATTCATTAGTGATATCGATATTAAAACTCAATCATTGATGGTCCTTTTGAAGTTTCTTTGTGACTATAAGGGTGAATTCACCTTAATTATGGATCTTAATTCATACAAGATCACATAACACATACTCAGTAAGTACAATCATATTTGATAGTTGTTTAAATGTGAAGACATGATAGTCAATAGAGTCGTATAGGAAGATAATCTTGAGCACACTTAGTTTAGTTTGGTGATTATTAAGTAAATATCTTAATATATGATGGAAATCGGTCATTTTATTTATCTTATCACCATGTTCTCCTTTTGAATGTTTAGAACCCACTTCTCGAGTATTAAGTTATTCAAACCTCCACAGTCGGTTATACTCTTGGAAGAAAGTAGTGATTTAAGACAATCATGAGTGTTAGTGGATTGTCCATAGAGTTTAGACATAGCATAGAGATTGCACTAACATTAATGAGTACATGAATAGAGATTTAAGTATTTGATCGGCTTGTACTTAGAGATTACTTCATTCATGAACGCATGAGTAATTCTTTTATAATAATATCTCTTATTCTTCAAATTTAGATGCATGTGGGATTTTTCTTTAAAAATATGTTGTGTATTGGTTTGCTCCAATGTTATCTGTAACTGGTAGTGATAAAGGGTATGTCCATGTATGATATGTTGAGTAGACAAAAACTATGAAGTTAAAGTTTATTTGTTCCTCTGCTTTAACAAGATAAGTGATATCTATAGGCCCCTTGATGATTTGGTGCTGATATCTAAAGTGCTCGGCCTAGACCCGACCTAAATTAACATGTTTAATTTAGTAGTTATATATGGTCGCACAAATCTTTATCGGTAACATAATCTTGAACACTGAGATTGACCTTTTTCCATGTCTCAGCTTCATACAAATATCTAGAAGAAAGGAATAAATGATCACTTATCTAAGGATTGATTCTTGATTAGATTAGAGTTTAGCAGTTGCATTGTATGGTATATGATGCTTATCAGGGAAGTATTGTACCACACATAGTTGATGACTTGTCCAAGTGGGAAACTGTTGGATTGAGTGTCCAATATCATTAATTAAATGGTAATATTTCTAATATTAATAGGGTCCTTTTGGGTTGTCCTCTTGACCCAATTAAGCATTAAGGAATTAAGATAAAAATAAGTTGTTAATTTATTATGAATTCCATTATAAGGATTCATTGTTGTTGTCACGAGATGTTAGAAGTCAAGAGATCAAAAGGTTTGTAATTCCATCTTTTGTTTAATCTCAAAGTAGGTTGCTATAACTAGTAAAACCTAGATCCTTGGAGTGTATGTATACATAGAGTTTGTTTTGATTATTTCGCTGTGTAGATCTAATGTGTTTAGAATGCCTTAATTCCCAACTATATATATATATATATATATATATATATATATATATATATATATATATATATATATATATATATATATATATTCCAAGGTGTATTGGTGGATCATCGGGTAACACTTGGGCACCCCCATAGGGGAGGCACCCAATAAGGGAGGTCCCAAGTTCATATTTTTGGGGTTTCAATCAAGGGTTGGCCGGAAGAAGGTGTGCGACGATAGGAGCTCCCTAGTATCATCGCCATATGCGGGTCTTCTTCCCAAACCTCACAATATCGGGGAGTCGCAGTACATGTGGGGGAGGGGGCCTTTTAAAGTTTTGGAAATTTGCTTACAGATGGATTAGACATAAGAATAAGGAAAATTTTATTATCAATTGGCAAAAATCAATATACCTTTCCACCATGAATGAATTCAATGGTAGGGCCACCACTGATCTCCACAGCAACAATGCCTGCAAGCTGCCAATAGACCACTTATTGTTCAAGTACGTAATTTAAACTACACATGAACCGAAAACCTTTAGTCACATACTGTCTAAGTCGTTTGTACATCCACGGAAGTGTAGTTTGTCTGACTTAGTTGGAAGTAAGTTAAGTGACCCGGAATCAGTTATCGACCCGATGAATACATTGCACTTTCACATTGTGCTAAAAAGGTAGGCAGGCACCAAAAGGAAAACACCGATTTTAATATATCACCTTGCTCATAATCGACAGATTGCTCTAATCTATTAAAAAACTTATATCAATAAGTAAGATTAAAATAACCTGATATATGTCTGCATATGAGATCATCGGATGCTTTAGCTTAATTTCTTCTGCAGTGGACCAAAAAAACGTCAATTAATAAATTGAACTAGTTTTAATTACATTGTTGTTGTAAAGGAAAGTTAACCATGGAAATGCAAATGCTAGCAGAAAATGTAAAACATTTGTATTGTAAACCATTTGATTTAAGCTAGATAAAGAAGTATCAAAAAATGTGGAGAAATTAACCAATTATTTATCGACTATAATTACTGATAAGGCAAGAGGCGATGAAGCGTGATGTTATAGACAGAAATTGGAAAATCGATTTTGAATAAATGAACAAACAAAACCTCTTTGTTTCTAACATCTGAACGAAGGATTTTCCTATGACACGGCTAGCAAATCATTTTATATAATAATCCATAGTAAATATCATCAACATATATAAGCATTTTACCACAAAAATCAATGGCTGTTTTTAGTCCTCTATTACAACTTTGTTCAAACTCTTCAGGCTTCCTGATGGAGCCATTTGGACCTCCAGTCCCCGTACGTTTGCAATACGTTCCAGCATCATGAAATCTACATACAATACAATCATCAATTTCAATTCGATCATCAATGACAATATATATGTGTGCGCTATACAAGAAGGATCTTACGCTAAACGAAGCATGATTGGCGCGCATTCTTTGCTGAAGATAAAATAACGTAGGTCTCTGCGAGCTTTCTCTATTTCTTTTCTGTACCAATAATCGGGCAGATTTGTTAAATCATAATTCATTTTCTGATTTGGAAGAGATCGAAGATGGTGAAGAACAACGAATTGTGTGTCTTTGTTTATGCAAAGTCGAGTTATTTATGACCTTTTAGATCTCACTTGAATATATATTTTTATTAATATTAATAACGAAGTATTTCATTATTTTAAAGTTTATAAACTATAAAGAGATTATGATTATGTTTCCAAAAGATTATAAACGAAATTCTTGGGTATACTAATATTAAATAATTAAATGTTCAGAATTTAAATATGATAAAACCTTAGAATTTTTTTTATAAAATGTTATACAAATACGATTTGAATTTCAAAAAAACTCACGTGGTGCTTGTTGCCGATGATCATGCATAATGAATTAGATGATTGATTGTTTTCTTATTGCCTAACAAGTGCTTGATCAAATGCATAAGACAGAAACATTGTCGTCGAGTCCGGGATCCGATTCGTCGAGTCAATCACTTAAGTCCCGCGTTCCGTCCCGCTTCTACTCGGCGAGTTGGTCCTTCAACTCGCCGAGTCCAAGGCCAAAAATGTAAAACACTTAAATAAAACAAAAAGAAATATGTACCAAGAATCGGGTGCTACATTAAGTCATTAAAGAAAATGACAATTCATGATAATAAGAATGGATTATTTAACTACAAATTTTTTTAACAATTCATTTAGTATTTTCAATATTTAATCTTTAATAATTAATACCCTTTTAGTTTCCAAAAACATTAATTATCAAAGTCTATGATCCAAGTTGCAAAACAAATAAATGGTTAGGTATCATTTATCCCATCCATTTGAATTCAACCCAGTAGATATCGATTATCAATTATATCTCACCATATAATTCCTAGATTTATGGGATCACTAATAACAAATTTGATTAGATATCTTTGATCTCATCTATGCCTCGGAACTCTCTTGCTTAGGTATCATTATCACAAAAGATTTCCGATCAAATCGTCCAATTTGAAAAACTTGTGTAATCGGCCTAGAAGTTGGTTATAGAAATCGCAAATACACCCCGGTCATCAAAAGATAACACTAAGCGGTTAGGTATCATTTATCCCACTAGTGCATACAAGAGATGTGCGAGTGTTCTTCAAAAGGATTACATATATTTGGGGTTTGTAAAAAGGGTCTCTACATGTTTTATAATTATAGTTTAAAAAACATATGATATAATGGTTATTACATGCATATAATAAACCATGGTATCAATTTTCAAAAGAAAATTACCTGTTAAAGGTTCTATATAAAATAGAGTAAATTACACGAATGGTCCCTATGGTTTGGGGTAATTTGCACGTTTGGTCCCTAACTTACTTTTTTAACTCGGAAGGTCCTTACTGTTTGTTTTTGTTACGTGTTTGGTCCCTTCTATTTGTTTTTGTTACGCGCTTGGTCCCTGTCTTACCTAAAAAGATTATTATTTGATTAGAGAAAGATGATGGGATAGGTAGGGTAAGGTGAGTGGAGTGAGGTTGGGAGTGTGTTTATTTAAATAAATTAAAAAATCAAGGGCAAAATAGTCTTTTTAGGTAAGATAGGGACCAAGCGTGTAACAAAAACAAACAGTAGGTACCTTCCGAGTTAAAAAAATAAGTTAGGGACCAAACGTGCAAATTACCCTAAACCATAGGGACCATTCGTGTAATTTACTCTATAAAAAAAACTATTTTTCATATAATTTGACGCAATTTGATTTCAATAACCGGTATTAAGTTTGAATGCATTTGAACCTTTTATATCTCTATTAAAACTTCATTTTATTAATTGTATATTTGGAGTTTATATATGTTATAAAAATCACCATTTTAAAACTTTTAATGAATTATTTCAAAATTTGCCGTTATTAACGATTTTATCAAACCGGGTTTTATTTTATTATTATTTTTTTTAAAAATAATAACTTGTTACATCTTATGTCTTATTTTGAAAACCCCAAACTCCATGTGATATTTATTTTATCCAAAATTATTTTAACATGTGAAAAACTAATTTATCAACCATGCATAATAATTGCATAGAATAAACAACACAAACATGCATAAAAAGATATGTGCATAAACATAACAAACTAATGATATTTTTGTGAGCCAACACAAAAATATCAAATCCATTCCTAAAGGGACATTTAAGGGGACCAAAAATCTTCTTGTAATGTTGTTATAGAAGCTCCCACTTGAGTAAACACTCATTGCTTGCAAAATGTTTGAAAAACTTCTTTAAAGGAAAGACTTCAGCTTTTATGACACTTTTCAGAAAGTGTCATCTTTATGTTCAGCACATGTGTAGCATTCATGACACTTTTCAGAGAGTGTCATATTTCTGCCCAGCAGTATGTACTCAAAAATTGCCTTTTTGTCCTCAATAATGGCTCCAACTTCATTTCTTATTATATCTTTGTACAAATAAATTATTTCTAAAAACTAATCTATTACTTTACAAAAATAAACAAGAAAAACTAATATATTTAATTATTACATACCATATGAATAAATAAATTATTACAACCATTTTTACAACAAACACAACAACATAACAACACATTGGTCCTTGGCTAATTTATGCACATCATACATCAACATATACATAAAACAACCTTGGTTTTTCTAAGACAACTTTAAATGACAAAAGATGCATGAAACTTTTGTCACATTAGTTAACAATTAAAAGTTGTTAAAGAAAATATGTATGAACTTATTTTTTATACAAAAACAAGTTATCTATATTCTCCAAACCAAACTTGCAAGATGGCTCTAATACAAGTTGTTGGGTTTTAGATCAAAATAGTTTCATAAACTAGAAAAATATGGCAACGGAAGACTTTAATTTTTGAAATAATATAAACATTTTATACCCACCACGGTTCTTCTTGCAGGTTATAGAAAGATTAAAACACCAACCAAAGAAGAGGTGATGAAATAACAAACTTTGTAGTTCTTTGGGTACTCTTGGGTGGCTTGGAAGTTGATGAAGAATGTGGAACCTTTGAGACACCAACAATGACTCAACTTGATATGGAATGCTAGTTCTTTGTATAAAACTCTTAAGTTTTTGAACCAAATCCAAGTATGGTTCAAAGAGAGCAAAATGCAAGCATCAAATCTTCAAGTGTTTAAAGCAAGAGAAGAGAGGAGGAGAGGGAAGAATGCTCTCGGCCATAAGCAAGAAGAATGGGGAAAAGCATTCAAGAATGCAAGCCTTATTATATAGTGTCTTAAAGTGAAGTCTTTACCCATTAGGTATTTCCACTTTAAACAAAAATGTCCCCTTGTCATAATCATGTCCAAGCATGCTTTTAAATCATGGTTTCTTTTGAATAAACTAATGGAAAAGCAATACTTTTCTTACTTTCATGCAAATATCGAAATTATACATAAAAAGAAGAAAGAAAGTCAAACTTTTATAAACTCCTTTATAAAATATAAACCTTGTCTTTTAGGAAAAAAAAAAACAAAAGGACTCAACTAGTCCAAAATTTTGTACATGACTTAATAAATCATACCATATGATATATTATGTAACTTGTAATGAAAATTATTATTTAAATGAAATAAATAATTTCCAATTTAATTATAAGAGTTTTATTGAATACTTATCAATTTCTAATAAATAATCAATTGTATCAAGTTGTTTTTAGTGTGACCAATTAGTATGATATGTTATTTAGCAATATCACTTTAATATGACTATTGAACATACTAGATCTTTCAGGCAAATTGAAGGCTTTCTGGTGATCAGTTTTATGTTCAAAGGAAACATCTCTCCCTTTCTTTTAGATTTTGGAAGCACTGCCTTTGTCTTCTTCTCTTTGATTTCTGACTCCTCATCATCGAGTGATACTTTCAGCCCTGTACCTACAACCAATTACGAAACACTTATCAGATTATGTTACAGACCTTCCACATATGTTACCTTCCAAATGGAGAATTTGTCATTCGTAATTATGCCATATCCTTTGATCTCTTGTGTGTCATTATTTTCGAACTTCACTTTGCCTTCGTCTTTCAGTGATCGAAATTCCATCAGCTCTTCTCTCCTTCATGTCATGTGACGTGAACAGTCATTGTCGATGTACCATTCCGAATCGTACTGTTCGTCACTGATCACCTACAAAAATCAGAGAGATTTAGGAACCCAAACTTTCTTGGTTCCTTTTGAGGTTTTCTTAAAAAGTTAAATTTGTATGAGTTTAGAAAGTTCTTTTGATCAAAACATTTTTCTCTCCTTTCAATATTTTGAAAACCTTCATTTTATCTTCACCAAGGTTGATTTCAACCAGATTTGATTTTTGTTAAATAAACTATTTGTACAATATTATAAGTATAAGCAGGTAGATTTTTCAATTTTATACGTCTTAATAAGACAGAAAGGACACTACAATGGCGTAGTACTATAGTAGATTTACATGAAAGTAGGGTGTTATTGCTATAATACCAGTGTGGATGCAGAACGTTTTAGTAGGGGTGACACTAAAAAAAAATTTCCGAAAAAATCTAAATTAGTAGTAGCCCTCGTATTTTAAGCCGGTGCACCTAATAGAAAAAAAACATTAAAAAAAACATAAATTTTTTACACTACGTACCGGAATCGAAGCAGTGGCCCGGGACCCCGGGCTCGACTAAGGTCTGCCACTGTATAATACATAGGTACTTAAAAGTGTGTGGCTATGTTTAATGTTTTGCATTTAGTCAGATTTCCTTCATTTGTTTCCTTAATTAATGTATATATTTTTTTTCTGCACGTTATGTCATTGTATTTATTTCAAACATGTCTAAATTGTAATCATAAATACTTTAATTAAATTGAGAAATTTAACCAACATTCTAATTTAAAACAATTTAAAATTTTTGCTAAGTATGTTTGTTAAAAATCTTTACTATAATATATATTATTTGCAGAATATATATATATATATATATATATATATATATATATATATATATATATATATATATATATATATATATATATATATATATATATATCAAATGTGTAAACTGATT